CTGCCTAAGGGTCCCCAGTTTGTAATACCACATATGTGCTTTCAGATAATTTTTCACTGAAAAGTCAACAAGCCTTTAAATTGGTCTTCTTATATGCTAGTGAACTTACTAATGCCTCCTTCCAATACCTGCTACTCTAAGCTCCTCCAAAAGCTGTGAAAACCTTGGCTCTCCCAACAAAACAGCACCATACCTATCTATTACAGATAGGCAGGACTTCTAAATCCACCCACATTCTAGCCTTCGCAAAGCAATCTTCAAACATTTCAACATCTTTTAAAAATGTGGTCAGGCTGGGTGCTGGTGACTCATGCCTATAATCTTAGCTACTCAGGAGGCAGAGATCAAGAGTATCACAGTTCAAAGTCAGCCCAGGCAAATAGTTTGCAAGACTCTATCTCAAAAAAGCCCTTCACCCAAAAAAAAAAAAAAAAAAAGGAATGGTGGAGTGGCTCAAGGTATAGGCCCTAAGTTCTAACCCCAGTATCAAAAAAAAAAAAAAAAAAAATGTAGTCAGGTTTTTCAAGATGAAAAATGTCTCCTGGAGACTGATGATAGTGATGGTTGCACAAAAAAAATGTTTTTAAATGTACCTAATGCTACAAAACTGTATGTATACTTACTAGTTAAGATGGTAAATTTTATGTATATTTTACCACAATTTAAAAAATGCACTCAGTTCCAGTTTGTGGAATGTATTTATGTCTTCTGTTTCTTTTCTTTCTCATTCTCTCTAGTCATTTGCTTTTTGTGGCTAACTGAAAAATATGGAAACTGAACATAATAGACAAGAAGAAAAAGAGGCCATTTTTCTTTTTTTATGGCATTCTCTGTTTACCTCAAAGACTTGAAGGAAAGATATATACTCAAGATTTAACTGAAGAAAAAAAATTGAAGATTAAGCTATCTGTCATTTTTATTATTATAGAGGTTTTACTGATTTTTGTATATTTCTAATGCAAGACAATATTTTTTGTTGAAAAGTATGATAATAAGGATTATTTTCTGTGAGTGCCAACTATCCAGAGAATGGACAGCGTTATGGTTTAACTCTGAGATGTTCTCTGAAGGCTCATGGGTTGGGGACTTAGTTGCTAGCTAATGAACTTTTGTGAAGTGGCTGGATCCTTAGGGCTCTGACTTAATCAACAGATTAATTCCTTAATACGATGGCATTAATGGGAAGTGGTCAAGACTAGGAACTACAGCACAATTGGGAGAAACAGTCACTAGGGGTGTGCCCTGGAAAAATATACCTGTCCCTTCCTATCTTGCTTTTTCCTTCTTAGCTATCATGAGGTGAATAGCTTCTCTCCTCCATGATGTTCCGCCTTGCCAAAGGCCTAAAAGCAATGGAGACAGTCAACTATTTACTGAGAACTCTGAAATCATGACCCAAAATAAATCACTCTTCTTTCAGCTTAAATATCACATCTTCTAGAATGTTTTTTTGTTTGTTTGTTTTTTGGCAGTACTGAACTCAGGGACTTGTACTTACTAGGCAAGCACTTTATCACTTGAGCCAGGTGTCCAGCCCTAAATCAGTTCTTTTTTAAATTGTTTGTCTTAGGCATTTGTCACAGTGTTTCTGACTAACCCATAAATGTGGGAAATGAATGGTTTGAAAACATTAAAGGAAAAAGAAAGCATCACAATATAGGAAAGAACAATTAAAACTGCTAAACATATTGCCTCTAATGTTTTAAAATTATTGCATCACACATTAGGTACTCATCATACAAATACAGTCTTTTTCCTTTTTTTTTAATGACACCCATGTATGAACTTGGGACCCTGCTTGCTCTATCACTGAAGCCACACTTCTAGTCCAAATCTTGAATCTTAATAATATAAATCAGTAATTTCATGTTTCAAATAAAAGCTGAGCCTTTCTAACTTTGTTATTAAGACTGGCATATGCATATTCAGACTCTGAAAACAGAAATGAGAAGTAGAAATACTGACTTTTTAAACCCTTTTATAATTTTATTATAGTATAACTTCTCATGTAATAACTAGATTAAATGCAGTTACATAATAGCAAAGCAATAACATACAGAAAGGACAATAACCTGTAAGTACACAATAATGACCACTTGGGATAGGATCATCTGTGTATTTTGATTCATTGTTCCCAAACCTGACCGGCCACCAGAATCCCCAACAGGAGACAGAGGAAGAGTATGAAAGAAGGAAGAATGGGGAGAAAATTTAAATAGTTTTCTCTGAACTCAGCTAGATTTAGCTTGGGTAAGTATGAGATAAAGTCTGAGAATGTGTACATTGATAAAGCACCCTGAGAAATTCTGATGACAGCCATGTTTTAGAACATGTGTTTTTAAAACCTTCTTTTTTAAGAGATCTATTTTACCTTTCTGCCAGTTTTTTTTTTTTTTTTTTTTTTTGGAGACAGGGTATGTATGTAACCTTGCCTCAGCCTAGTGAGTGCTGGGACCACAGGTATGTAGAAACCTGGCTTCTATCTCTATTTTTGATTAAATAACATTTATTCAAGGTGCACTGTCACCTTTAATCATCACTACAGTCTTGTGAGATAGTGAGACAGTATTATTCTCATTTTACAGATGAGGAAACTAAAGCTCAGCGAAATCACTTAACAAAATTACTCAACCAGCAACTAGCAGAGCCTTACCCATGCTAGTTAAATCTTTAGATCCCACCTCGGCCTGGAAGCAGTATGGCAGAGTGAAAGAATGATACCTTTAAATGGCTGAATTTGGGTCTAGCTTCTGGTATCTTTTAAAAATTACTTCTTGGCTGGGGATGTGGCTCAAGTAGTAGAGCACATGCCTAGCAAGTAGGAGACCCTAAGTTCAAGCCCCAGTACTGCAAAAAAAAAATTTTTTTTAATTATCTCCTAATTTGTTTCCTCAAGTATATATAAGATTAATAATATCTATCCTACCTAAGTAATGATTTTTGTTAGACTCAAAATGTAAAACTGCCTTCAAAGTAAAGAAAAATGACCGAAAACAAGCTATTAATGGAGGAGTTGGAGAAGTTAAAGTGAAGTGTTTAAACAGGGTGGCAAATGAGTGGTTAAATGCACAGACTTTGGAGCCAGACATCATGTATTTCCTAGTTATGTAACCTAGGGAAAGTTACTTAACTTTTCTGTGTAATGGTTTCCTCATCTGCAAGATGGAGATAATAATAAATCTCAGAATTTTATAGGGGTTAAATGAATCAATGCGTGTAAAATGTTCAGAATAAAGGGTGGGGGAAATAGCTCAATAGTAGAGTGCTTGCCTAGCATATACAAGGCCCTGGATTTGATCCCCAGCACTGCAAATAAAAAAAAAAATTTCGAGCTACTTAGAACAGTGTTTATCATGTAGCAAACACTCAACAAAGTTGGAGGTAACATTCCCTACCCAATTTTTTAAAGGAAGCATCACATTAAAAGAAAAAGAAAAAAAAGTCAAATGTTTAATGCAGTACAAAAGTGGCCTACAGGATGCTGGCATTTTCTTCCATTAAAAGCTGATAAATGCCTCTGATTTTGGAAGTAAACAATTTGGGTAGTTTCAATCTTTCAGCTAAAACTATGTAGCTTTCAAACTGCTTCAATCATGCAAATAGTTAAGATCATTGTAAAATGTTATCTGCTTTTTCATTTCTAAATATTTTTATCTTTTTATCTGAAAATATCTCTTTAATTTTTAAAGTAACTTTGTTACTCAGTTTTTTTGATAACTTCTTTGCTTCAAATACTCTTCTATATGATTTGACTTCTAATGCAAAAGCTAATTAGTTTTCAAAGGAAAAAAATGTAACAATGAAAAAGTCTGTATAATACATATCAAAAGGAAGCGACACTAGTCCTAAATGAGTTATTTACTAAGAATAACAGAGAGGAAGTAATAAGGGAATAATTCTCACTAAAAGAATATAATCTACAAACCATACCACCCTGATTCCCACACCCCCCTCAATCATCTTATCTTGGAAGCGAAGCAGGGTTGGGCCTGGTTAATACTTGGATGGGATATGGCCTGGGAACACCAGGTACTGTAGGCTTTATATATATATATATATACACACATATAAATACATACACACACACACACACACACACGTATATATATGTGTGTGTGTATGTACAATGATAAGCTAAAGCAATTCATGTACTAGACTGGTTTATGATCAATCTGAGGCTACAAAATTAAAGCCACTAAGAGGGGCAGGGGAAGGGGGGAGAAATGACCCAAACATTATATGCACATATGACTAAAAGAACTTAAAAAAAATAAAAATAAAAATAAATAAAGCCACTAAGAAATCCTAGCTGTGAGTTATCTTAAATATCCAATGCATAGCTGGAAATGTCGTCAGAGATTCAATAGGTGACATCCCTTTCCTCCCCCTTTTTTTCCTTTTTTGAGTTAACAAACTGAAGCAAAACCACCCTAGAAGCTCTGTTACTAGCTAGAAGAATTAAGTGTAGAAAAATTTCACTACATGGTGGTGGAGTGGCTCAAGTGGTGAAACACCTGTTTAGCAAGTATAAGGCCTTGAGTTAAAACCTCAGGACTGCAAAAAGAAAATTTCCACAGCAATGCTTCAAAAAGCAATCTAAGACTCTGAATCTGAATGGAGACCAAATAAAAGACTATGGATATTATATCAATATCCATACAGCACCTCTGAGAACTTCACAGTCCAAGCAATATGTCTATAATAGTTATTGTATTCTAATTACCCTAAGTTCAAATTCTGAAGAGTAATTGCAAATTTCAATACATTAGGACAATACCTGGAACTCAAGTAACCCACAAATATATGAGCGATTAATTTTAGATGAGTTCAAATGTATTCAAGTATATTTTATCTAACATAGTATGTAAGAGATCACCCTTAACATTCTGTTCCCACTAAATATTCTGAAGCTAGCTCGATGTGTTAGTATCCTTAACTACTACCCCAAAATTTGTACAATGCTCCCATCTATACATTGAGAGGGAGTTTACCAGACACACCTCTCTGGCAATGTTACTCAAAGCTTCATCTTCTGCAGAAAATCGATCTTTCACAGGTGTTCTTTTCCTTCCTGAACCAGGAGTCCCCATCTTTGTTGCTAACAGTCTTTTAACTCTGAAAGTAACTTCACTCTGTGTTCAGACCTGAAATAAATAGAAACACAGTAATTTAAGATGCTTTTCTTTGTGGAGTTTTAATTATATTTGTCCTTACAGAAATTAGTGGCCAAATTTTTCCCACTACCAAATTATTCCAATAAATTTTACATTTAAATTTCTTTTAATTACTAGGTCTCCTAATTTCACTATGCCATCCACAGCAACCTATAAGAATGTGTTTTATTAGCCTCAGAAAACTGCAGTTAGGTGGCTGGGCATGGTGACACAACTGTAGTCCCAGCTACTTGGGAGGCAGAAATCAGGAGTTTGGCAGTTCATGGGTCCATCTCAATCATTAAGCCAAATATGGGTCTGTGGTGTGAGGCAAGCCCTGGGCAAAAATGTGAGATCCAAACTCTGGATTCAATTCCTAGCAACAACAAAAAATGATTCCAATGACAGGATGCAACACAAATTCCATGAACTCCCTTTCTTGTAGACACACTGCTAAGAACTAGACCTCATTTAGCTAAATACCCAGTAAGCTCAAAAAAATTTTCCCTAGCTTTAACAAAATAAACTAGAAAAATTTCATTACAGTATGAGTCACAAAAGAATTCTCAAATAAATTTGTCCCAACAGTACTGGCTATACTAAAACTCTCAGTGACTTTAATATATTGGAATTCACTTAATTCAAGCAAAACAAAGCAGAATCACTCCACAAAAAATGTTTACTTTAATAAAAATTCAGGCTAGTCCCATCTTATCTGACATTATTTCCTAATTACCCAGAGCCGGCTAGTAATGTCTGTCAACCAAAATGAAAACTGCTGATGTTTTATCACTTCACCATTGATATATATCTGGATATTATCAAGAGACGAACTCATTTAAATAGAAGAAAACAAACAGAAATGCACATCTGAAAGAAGCAATTGATAAATCCCTGCCACAAATCAAGACAATTCTTGAAAAGTACAAAAGAGTTTTCTCAGAAGTCTTGATGCTTCTCAGTTTCAGTATGAATTTTACAGTTATTCACTTACTTAATGATAATGCTATATCCAAATACTAGCCATCAACTAAGAACAAAAAGCAACGTGCAATACAAAAATCCTTTTAGTGTGATAATTTAGGTAATGCACTATAATATCATCCAATATTTGTCCTTCAGTCAGCTTTTCAAGAACATACTGAAAGACATTCACAAAGTCGAAGACAAAAATGTAGACATATTTAATTCTAGACATGTAAAAATAATTACAGAGGAAAAAATAGGTTTGGCTAGACTATCAACGGCTAAAACACTACCTTCTTCACAGGATAAGATCATGGATGCTTTCTTTTTTCTTCTTGCTTCTCTAAAATTTTAATAGCATTGGAGAGAGATACACTTTAAAAAATAAAAATACTCAGATCTATAGTTCAAAAAATAGGCCTCAAAGTGGATCACATTCAAATTATCAATAATATGCTATACAACTGGGGCACACTATCTGAAACCATGTGATGGCATTCTTTTGAAGCTAGCTTTCTTTTTCCTCTTTTCCTATAATTCATTTCCCCTTCTTCCTCAGCTAACAGGCAGCTAATACCACCTGTGCTTTAGACCTACCAAGATATTCTTAGATCACAGAGACGTGTAAAAAATTATCTTCTCTTAAAACTGCCTCAAAACAAAACCGTTTCAACAAGCTCCAGGCTAGTCAGTCTTAAGAGAAAGGTGACAAGAAAAGGACAGAGGGACAACTTCCTGCCCATTTTCCTTGTCCTTCCTATCTACAAAGTGTTTACAGGATTGATTGGCCTTGTTCTGTCACCTTCCCAATTGCAGGAGGTCTATCAAACATAACCTATTTCAAAGAGCAACACAGTGCTTTTAAAAGACTTATATTATTTGTACTCTATATAAGTAGATTATCTTTTCCAATATTAGCAATGTTAGAGATTTTCAGTTCCTGTGCAATCTATCTTCTAGTAACTAGAACACTGCTTTTCAACAAAATGGCAAAAACAAAGACATAGACTCAAAGGAAACACCAAATACATTATTTTCAGTTTCTGATCCTGAAGGACTCCAGTTCGTTTCTGTCCCAAGGAGCTTTCCTCAAGAACAATTTTCTTCTGGAACCACATCAATCTCTTTTATCTATTCCTTAGTAGAATCAATCAACTTAAAGAAGGGCTGGAAGTGTGGCTCAAATAGTAAAGCACCTGTCTAGCAAGCTCAAGGCCCTGAGTTCAAACCCCAAAGGAGGGGAGGGAAGAAGATATTATACTTAACCAAATTAAGGAGCCAAACCAGGGCTGGCGGGGTGGATCAAGTGGTAGAGCGCCTGCCTATACCAAGCATGAAGCTCTGAGTTCAAACCCCAATACCACAAAAAAAAAAAAAGCCTGTATCAAGACCCAAACTATTACATCAACTGACTAGGACAAAACTGCCTGCATTTTTGTTAGTCTCATAACTCAGTGTTAAGTTAATTTTCCCAAAAGGTTTTGGCATTAAGTATTTATCTACTTAAGAAGGAAAGAAGAAGTACTTTCAGGATGGTGTGGAATATAAGCCTTCCAGAATATACAAAAATATCAGTAAAGCTTTTTTTCTCCAGTGAGCTCTTCATATAATATATACCTGAAAACATATGCATGCCACATTAAAAGTAGCACTTCATCATGATATTATCTACTTTTCTTAAAATACAATCTATATGTAGCACTAGTATGTGACATTCTAAGTAAATATAGCACACTTACATAGTTCTTGGCCTGTTCTGGATTCTAACAGATACTTTATATCTAAGTACTGCATCATGGAGAACCCAAAATACTGTGGTATGTTTTTGAATCAAAGCTGTCATTACAGTCAATGCACAATAACACATTTAGCAGTTACTCATAAACAAATCCCAGTACCTGGCATGGTACCTAACTAGATTAGTGTGATTGAAGGTATTGCCATTGTACAAAATTTAAAGTGTGAAGATGTTAGTTCAACTGATTACACTACCACTTGCTGTGTTGCCCTTCCCACGAGCCTTAGTTTTTTCAACTATATCTAACATAGTTAATGTGAGGGTCAAATAAGAACAAGCATTTAATAAACCAAAAAGCACTCCATAAGTATTTTAAAGTATCTTTATTTAATTATCTTTTCCATATTTAACTTGTGAAACTGACAAAGGGGCAATATTTGTCTTTATTTACAACTTTTTTTTCAGTACTGGGGCATGAATTCAAGGCTTTCACCTTGAGCCACTCTGCCAGCCCTTTTTGTGATGGGCTTTTTGAGATAGGGTGAAACAAACTATTTGCCCTGGATGGCTTCGAATCGCAGTCCTCATGATCTCTACCCCAAGTAGGAAGGATTAGAGGCCTGGGATACCACTGCCCAGCTGTTTACAATTTTATACTTGGCTTTTTGTTTTTTTTTTTTTTTTTTTTGTGGTGCTAGGGATGGAATCCAGGGCCACCACATGCTGGGCAAAGCAAGGGCTGTACCACTAAGCTACATGTCCAGTCCTTTTTTCCTTTATTTTCTTTGGAAATGGGGTCTCCCAGTGCTGCCCAGCTTCTTGAGTACCTGGGATTACAAAGGTGTACCATTATGCCTAGCAACTTTTTTTGAAGGGGAGGGGAGCAGTACTAGGGATTGAACTCGGGCCTCTACCACTTGAGCAACAACTCCAGCCCTTTTTGTTTTAAGTGTTTTCTTCTAAGTCTTGCACTTTCGCCCGGGCCAGACTCAGGCCATGATCTTCCTGCCTTTGCCTCCGAAGTAGCTGGGATTATAGACATGTACCACTAAGCCTGGCTTGTTTTTCAGACAGGGTCTAAGTGACTTTATTGCCCAGGTTGGCCTTGAACTGCAATCCTCCTACATCTACCTCCCAAGTAGCTAGGATAATAGGCATACACCACTATGCATGGCCCCCCACCAATAATTATACTTGTTTTTAAATATGGAACACTTTATGAATTTGTATGTCATCCTTGCACAGGGACATGCTAATCTTCTCTCTATCATTCCAATTTTAGTGTATGTGCTGCCAAAGAAAGCACAATTTATATTTTTTAATACAAATTTAATATATTTAATTAAAATTTTATATTTTCAATTAAATAAAGGTACCCTCAGATTATTTCCTTCAGTATGCACTGTATGATATCACTAGGCATGTAGAGAACTTTTCCTGATGCATGGAACAGTCTGGAAAAAAAATTAAAACTCTTTTAATTATAATCAATTTACTATGAAGCACATTTGTATAATAAAAAAAAAAAGAAAAAAAATTTTAAGGTATTTTATGGTATTCAAAGTCTTACTGTGGAAAATTCCAAATGACTACACAAGTTTTGGAACTACAGTCTTATGGCTTTTAATCTCCTTAGTAAAACACAACTGACTTAGAAAGAAACAGACTAAAGAAATCATTAAACAGTATACATAAAATCTGTGTATATCATTTTATGTAAATTTTACCTCAAAAGAAAAAAAATCTCTACACAATTATTAAACTTTACTCAATGTGCATGCTAAACTACTTAAGGATGAAATTACTGATATCTGCTAGTTTAAAATGCAACAACAAAAGATGAAATGATGGAATCCAGATATGATAGTTTCATGGGCATTCACAGTAAAACTTTCAATTTTTCTGTATGTTTGAAAACTTTCATATAATAATTATTTAATTATTTTTTCTGTATGTTTGAAAGCTTTTATATATAATGAAGTGTTGGGGGAAATGTAACTGACTTGAGAAGCCTGCATGACTAGGTGAATGCAAGGTATGGGAAGTGGGAATTCTGGGTTTTTTTTAAATCTTGATTTAATGCAGCACAGAAGTACAGTGCTTGCCCAGCATGATGCAAGGCCCTGGGTTTGATCCCTAATACTGCAGCAAAAAAAAAAAAGGCAATAACATATAAATAGTTGCATATACATTACAAAATAAAGATTATGGGCAAAGGAGAGAATGGCCTAAAACCCTGAGTGTGTGGGGGGGGGGGAAGGAGGAGGATGAAAAGAGGTGTAGGTAG